CAAATTGCCAACAGCAAGGTATCTTTAATATAAAACCACTGATATTACATAAAGATTGGACATTTCTATTCTTAAATGTTGTGTGCTTTACCTAAGAATATTGAGTATTAAAGGAGACATGTCATGCTTTTCTGGTTATTACCCGTCCCCTTGTGTGTTATGAAGGTTTTTATGCATGTAAACGGTGTGCAGAGTCAAAACCCTCAAAGTACAACCTGTAGCGAGTAAAACTCTAACACAGAAAATACCTCCCCAAAACGCCTCGTTGGAGATACGTCATTGTCCATTTGATTCTTCCGGGTGCGGCATGATGTCAACCCGTACCCGGAACGAAATGGACCAATCCGTGGAGCCGTTACGTTACGTCCGCGGAGCCGTTACGTTAAGCCCCCGCTGATTGGTCCAAATTGACCAATCCACGGACTTCCTCACAAACACACACAGTGCAGGCAGCTCTGCTGATTTCTCCTCCCTGGCTGCAGGCTGATAACAGACAGTTGGGATCGCGGCAAAATTCTCTCTGCAGACCCATTCTCACAGCGTTTATCAACCTTTTTCTTACTCAATATCAAGTCACACTTACTGTTTTTACTTCGGCTGTGAGTTTGTGTGTGCTCAGGATGAGTTTGGCTGTGTTTGGCTGTGTATCGCTAAACAAGGAAACAACACCTCCACGGAGCTCAGCGCGATTCACAACGTCCTGACCAATCAGAGCACACTGTGCTCACAGGGAGGGTGAGGGCTGGAGCTATTGGAGCTACAACGAGCCGTTAAAGGCAGAGAGTGAAATTCAGTGAATACACGTAGTTTACAGAGATGCTGTATGAGAAACCAATGTGAGTTTGGAAAATTGCACAATATAAATCTATTCTAGTAGACCTCAACAATGGAATTATGATCAGTGGAAATGGCCATGACATGTCTCCTTTAATATTATTTTTAAATCTAGGATTACCATATAGTCACAACTTTTTTTTCTGTCTGTATTTAAAATGTCCAACAGCCCGTGGCTAAATAAACACAAATCCATGCTGCATAAAGTTTACACCTAAGGGATAATTTACAGCGAGAGCAAAAAATGTTTTTTTTCCGCATTATGACCCGCTTGCCGTGAAACAGATCATTTGACACAACAAAATATTGATTGCTTTTGTTATCAAGTATTCAATAAAGCTGTGTAATGAACACATTTGAAGTTTAGTTATTTATGTCTCTGAGATGTTTCGAGTGTACTGCAACATTAAGATACCAAATTCTCGCTTGTCCTGACCTTCAACCACTGTTAGTCTCCAGTCTCTGTCGAAGAAAACCCCCCCCTTGTCAATCAAAAAAGGCCTCAGACATGAATCCATTCAGGGAGTTTTGGGGGCAAAGCTGCAGCTTCCACACTTTATTTTGAAGTTCCTTTAGTGGAGAACTAATTTCATTTTTCTTTATTTATTTTTACATTAGTCTGCATTTTTAAAAGACTGGAACTGTTGGATTTGTTTCCTCTCTGCTTCAGTAGTTGATGTGTTTTTTATTATCCTGCAGTATAGTAGATGAGGTTTGATGCTGACCAGCAGGGGGTGTACGCTGCTGTCAAACCTGCATTTACTGCTGATACTTTGTGTGAAAGTGACATCAATTACAGTGTTATAAATACAAATAATGCAAAACTTGTTGGCATGTGTTTCCTTGCCTCTGTGTAAATATTGTTGTAGAACAGCAGAATTTGGTTTTGTGGCTTTTTATCAGTTTGGATCTGCATTGTCATTCGTACTAGTGGAGCCTCGCAGATGGGGGTGCTGCAGCCCCCTCAGCACCCCCCACCCCCCCCCCCTTTCCCGCGTCCATTTTCGATGTCTCGCTGTCTCGCAGATCCCACGCAGCAGGCAGGAAATGAACCCAGCTCACACTGGCTGCTCCTCGCAGCAGCGAGCCGCGCAACGTCCCGCCAACACGGCACCCAGACCCCACGCAACATTCTCATCTGTTTGTCATTACTGGTCTCATTTTCTGGTTGCTAACGCCATTGTAACACATAATCACTGATGTTCCGCTGTAACAGTGGTAGGCCATGGATGTATAATAAGAACTGGATACAGCGTGGGAGGCGGGGCCTCATTCATTCCTATGAGAGCTGCTCATTGGCGCATGAAGATAAAATGGCCCAACTTTTGAGAGAGCGAAACGTCACCCGTCATGCCTGAGAAGTACCCGTATGTGCGCTCATAGAGCATGCGCAACTTTAACCACGCCCCCCAAAAGGCTCGTTCACATTAAGCACGTCAATTTGTACACGTAACAGCACCGCACGTTCATGACAGCATGGTACTGGATTGTTATATGATGGATTTTGATATTAACGAGGTGGCCGCAGCAGTTAGCAGCTAGCGGCTAGCTAGTAATTATGCTAATTTACACATAAATTGTTATGTACTTTTATATTACGCTGTAACAGGATCTAGTGATATCCAAGCAACAGAGATTAATTTAGCATGAAAGAATTATGGCACTGTATGTATATATATATACATATATATATATATATATATAAAACTTCTACAGATTTAGTCCCATCATCTTCATTTCATCAAGACCATCTAAAGACCTTGTTTTGTGTTTTTACTTTATTTGCTAAAAGAATCATGCAAAGTGCAAAGTCCGTAAACCATCATCAAATTCAAATAAAAACGACAAAGATACTGTGGGGGAAACTTCTGAAGCAATTGGAAACAGGACTCAGAGAGGCACGAGGAGAGCTGGAGTTTTGATGGCAAACACTGGTGGTTTATTTGGAGTTACGGCCGGAGAATTGACAAGACAGGTGTGTCACGAGTTGACACAGCGGTTGCCAAACCAATTCTGAAGAACTCTTCTGCAGCTCGATGTCTTAACTAGTTCGGAGTGTAATAATCAACATTCTTTGTCAGTGAGACTAAACAATTATGGACCCTGAATCTAACTAGAGCTCTCGTCCATAGAAAAGAATGTGCGCCAGGGAACCTACGTCCCTGAACAGTAAACTACCTCATGGCGGCTTGTGCTTTGTCATAGACTGGCAACAACAATGCGCCCAAGCTGCCCCTCCTTAACCTGAGACCCTGAGCCTGTTTTTCAGGTCTCAGGCTCGAAAATGACATTCCCAGAACAAATGACCATACCTTCCCTTCTAAAAGGGTTAAATTAATAATCTTTTTTCTCAAAGTAATGATAAACCTGTGAGTTGGATGTAGAAAAGTCAGAATCAATATAGATGTTTTTATTTTAAAGAAAATTCAGATTTTACATAGTAAGAAACTGTAAATTATAGTGGCCGTCCAAAAATTCTTTTTTACTTATAGTGAAAACTACCCTTGGTAAGGTAGACTAAAATCCAAAGTACAACATATAATAAGTACCCTGTATCAAGATTGATGCAAAACAAGTGACATTTGACCTTTTTAGAGAGATTTAGCCAAAAACACTCCACCTCTGAGGTGATTTGGGTGGAAATTGTTTTTTTTTTCATATCTCTGGAACCCATTGGTCGATTTGGTGGTTGACACCTCTTTCTGACCGTTAGAGCCAATAGAATCGAAGGGGGAGTCCCCCACACACACTCATTGTGAAAGAAAAAAGTGCGGGCTTTGCACATGTAATTTTGCATTAGAGTGAAGCTACAGTCTAGCTCTGACATCTAGAAATGTAAAAGCATGGATTATCTGTCTGTTTGCTCATGGATTATCAGAAATCATTTCAAAGGGACACAGACACATTGGATTAACCTATGGATTAACTTCAGCAGCGTTTTCATCGTTTTAATGCCATTGAAGACCACTTTGGAGAGACTACAGAGCCAAGATAAAAATGTTAGCATTTTTAGCTACCTAGCGTCACCTGTTTTGATGTCTGTTTTTGTTTATAACGTCGCAAATTCGTATAATTCAGTGATAATGAGGGTACCCATCGATCCTGTGTCACCTCACGATGTGAAACGATGTCATGGATGTGCAGAAAATATAAATAATAAGGTTTTGTGAGTGATTTTCGGTGTATTAATCTGTTAGCATTTTTCGCTCGTTGCTAATTCAGAGGCTCAGTGTTAGCATTGTGGGTTTTCTTTTGAAAAAAAAAAAAAAATGATCAGTTAGATGAGTTTCTTCCCGTTACATGGATATAAAACATTCATAGTTTATTAAATGAACATGCCCTCAGACACTGTTTCCTGCAAGATGTTGCGGCAGTGCCCTGGTACCGGGGTCTCTCGGGCTTAACAGGTTAAGAGAGATAGCAGCAATACCCAAGGCCGTAGAACTATGCCATGGGAAAGGAGACAGTGAGAAGAGAAAATTATGAACTGTGTCAAAGGTTGAATACCTAATCAAATTATTCCCCAACATATACAAGTATGTTTATTCAAACTGTCCTTTAATTGAAATACAAGTCGCTACCATTAGGTTTTCAGTTTATTATTAACAGTCCATACTCTTTGTACAAAGATGTATCAGTTATATATAAACACAGTACACAATAGTTAAAAATGAGACATACATGTACACGTCTGAATACATTTCAACCATACTTCAAGTGTCAGGAATTTTCTGTGTTTGTATAACCTCTCCTCTGTCACACACACAGACCAGAACTGGCATCCGTTGACCCGATGAGTAACCACTGGCTGACATCGGGATTGTCATGATAAATGAAAATGTGCTATGACTAATAAATATGCATATCCTGCAGGCTTCCCGGCACAGCGCCAAGCGGGCAGAGGGTGGAATGGAAATATAAACTTTTTACATGCCAGACACCAAACTGAAACACAATTAAATAATATTCCATAAACAGTATCTGCATTAAATATTCTAGCCATGCAGTATATGAAGTTTGGAAATAATTTAATAGATCTTCACCTTGCAGCGACGAGCACAACGGAAGCTGACTGCTATCTGATTATGGAGGTTTGGGAAATAGCAGCTGATAAAAACATCTTGTTTAAAATACAGTATAATGATAATAAGCATTCTGATGATCAACATTAACTGTCTGTTCTTTGAGTTCATAATAACGGGGATTTTAAATACATTTTTGCAGAATATCTGGACTTCCAGCTTTTTCTCATTGTCCACAGTAACTGAAGTGTCCTTACAATTGTTTCCATTCCATTCCTTGTGCTGGATTTGGAGTGGGGTTGGAGCAAGGTGGTGGTGTCCTGGACTAGGAGGTTGGAGGTCGTAGGGCCCGGCAGGAGTGGCAGCAGGCCTTGCTGTAGTACCAGTGGCTGCACAGGTTGACCTTCAGCGCCAGCAGGCAGTTGGTGGAGGGACGATCCTGGCAGCTTTCATCTGGAAAACAGTTCACACATGTCAGCTGTTACATTTAAAGGTCATCTATTATGCAAAATCCCCTTTATCATTTATTGTATACATAAACATATTTCCCCTCTGTGTAAAGAGATTCTGAAAGTTTCAGGAAAAAAGATTAGCTCAGATTTTGGGCACTTTATGATGTCATAACAATTTTTTGGCTCGTGTAACCATTAGCCAATCACCAACCAAGGTAACCCCCCCCCACCTTATCACCTGAATCTCCTCCTAGAGCACCGTTGTGTTCTTTTTAACCAAATATCTCTCAGAGGGGCGTGGGGAGTGGCTCCTTATTTTCATCTAAAGTAACAGACAGAGAATCAGCACTTTTGAAACAGGGCTGAAACAGAGGGGATTATTATGCTGCAATGATCTGTTTGGTATTTCGAGCCAAACACTTCAGAGGCATGTTTTGTATATATCTGAGACCTATAATATATTGATGAAAAACAGTATAATAGGGGACCTTTAAAGGTGCCCTATTTTGCTTTTGGGGGTTTTCCCTTCCCTGTGGTGTGTTATATAGGATGTTGTGCATGTAAATGGTCTGCAAAGGCTTAAATCCCTGTTCCCTCCAGAGGGAGTTTCTCTCCCACACACTCCCCCCCTCGCTGAAACGCCTCCATAGTGGTCCTTTGTTTACTCCCGTAACATAGTGATATCACTATGTAACACTCGCTTCTATTAGCTAGCACTCCAACACATTGTACGTGATAAGGTGCCAAGAGGCAAACTCACTCAATAGAGTTTAGCAGTGATGACGCATTTTTGGACCGGACCCGGAAGTAAAATCAATGGGATTTCTCCATTGCAATTTGGTATATTGAAGAAAATAAGCTTTGTAACAACCAAGTTTATACTTACATGTTTTGTTCAGCAGGATAATCTCCACATATTGACACCACTTTGTGATTGTGAAGGCTAACTGCAATCACCAGAGGTAAAAGGCACATTTTAGGCTATAAACAAAGTACATCATTTCCTTTCATTTAGTCACTTATTAGCAACCGCGCTATTTATGACACAGTAGCTACTGACGTATTTTATCTGGAAGAACAAAAAGTGCAAATCTCATCAGCTTCTGTTAACTACAGACCTTATTTCAGACTTCTACCAACAAACACGTTCAAAAAACATTGACTTCAAGACAAGGGAACAGGAAGTCATGAAATGCTACGTTTATTCCGGGTTTTGGGACTTATTAATGCACCACTGGACCAATTTGGGCTGGTTTTGATTGGGCAGGTTTTTTTGTCACACAAACACATGCATATTTAGCCTCTATTACGAACCAGATATGGTCTCAATTTAGCATGTATGTGTCATGCCACTGTAAAGATTTGGGAAAACATGACTGAAAGTAGCACAAGCCTGCTTAAGCTTCCCAAATAAACTTTAATTTGACCTAATATATTGACTTGATAAAAATATACACAGGAATTAGCTTCCTGGATAGCTTGTCTAGCTCACTGCGAGGGATATACTTCCAGGGCAACTTGCTGGAAACTTGTGAATTGCACATACTGGGTTTTTAAATATATTATTTGGGCCAGGGAGTGCCTTTATTTAGAGATACAGTACAGTGTTTAAATGGGGGGGAAAGAGGGGTGGACAGTGCCTTAAAGGTCTCCTGTTATGCTATTTTTAGGCATATATTATGGGTCTCAGATATATAAAAATATATAAAACATGTCTATGATGTGTTTTGCTCAAAATACCAAACAGATCATGCATTTTAGACATCCCTAAAAGGGGGAGCTTGTGCCTGCTCAGAATTCTACCGGCAGATAGTTAAATTATGCCGTGATTAAACGCCATATCATGTTCCAAACCACATCAAGGATTATTTCTGAAACAGTATGGAGCTCAAATGCTTTTTCTCTTTACAAGGTGAGTTCCTTTTTTTATTTCCTGCTTTTTTACACATGTACCCTCTCCAGTACAGGTTAGCTCTGAGTGTTAGCGATGCTTGCTAATGTAAACAAAGACCATATTACATCCAAAACACGTCAGGCATTGTTTCTGATAGCAACTTTGCCGTGGGTCCACGTCATATCGGACGCAAATCTGGATCAGCTCCGTTGTACCCCCCGTTTTTAGAGATTTGGGTAAGGAGGAAAAGAGAGAGGGTTTTGTTTTCTGACACTTTGTGAGATCCCTGACACACCGGGGACCAGGCTTGAATTTTCGTCATTTTAGGGACAAGGCCATTTGGCCTTTGCTGTCACACATTTTTTCAGGGCGGAAAGGCCACATGCCAGGGCACAAAGGCCATTGAGTGAAAAATAAGGATTTGGAGCTTACAAATAAATAACTTCACTTTCTGATAAGAAAAACACACGAATGACATGGAAAACAAATCACTTTTTTAATATCAATAATGTCAAACATTATATCATCATATAGGCCTATGCCTCCTTAGTATTACCGTATATAAAATGAAATACTTTACTTTGAATAATTAGTGTTTGGTATGTTTTCCATCTACTATTTCTCCCATTCACAAATCCGAAATCAAATAAAAAAATCAAAAATTCTATTAATATGTAACAAATATATTCAATTTCAGAGCAGAAGAAACAGCCTTCAAGGGTCAAACTCTGCACATACATCATTCAGCAGTGCACAGTGAAGCTGCAACATTCAACTGTATGAACAAGCAATACTTTGAAATGCAAAAGTGTGTGTGTGTGAGTGAGTGAGTGAGTGAGTGAGTGAGTGAGTGAGTGAGTGAGTGAGTGAGTGAGTGAGTGAGTGAGTGTGTGTGTGTGTGTGTGTGTGTGTGTGTGTGTGTGTGTGTGTGTGTGTGTGTACGAGAGTCTCTTTAATCAACTACTCACAGCTGCTCATATCTGTTCAGGAACTGGACAAAAGTTAAACATGTACAAACCACAGACTGTCTGTGTCATGGCGAATACAGTCGCTGCTTTAATTCTGTCTTTAGGACGTTTTTGTGAGTGTGGACGGAGCAGCTACAACGTTAGTTTAGCCTGATCGATCCGATCTCCATTCAGAAAACACTTGTCAAAGCATTCATTCATGGTTTTTACTAACCGTTATCAGTATGTTGTTACTTCGGCATCATTTTGAAACGTGTATTACAATTAAATCACGGTAAAATAGGTTAATTTTGTCGTAGTTGGTTTCCACCACAGTATTTACATGGATATAAACCCCGCCCCCACTCCAGCACGTCCTGTTTGAATGACAGGAGTAAACACAGCTGACAGCCGCGGTGAAACTCCAGCGGTTAGAGCAATGCGAATATTCGCATCGCGTCCGTTGTGAACGCAGCATAATGCAGTTCAGAAACCACTGTTCTGACGCTTTTAAAGCAACTTCGAGATTTTAACAGTGTGAGGGGCCCAAAGGCCATCGTGGCCGTAGGACGTACAATTATTTGTGGGGCCATGGCCGTCATGGCCGCCGTGAAAATCCCACCCTGCTGGGGACACATATTTATTACATTACATTAGATTACATTACATTACATTACAAATCATTTGGCAGACGCTTTTATCCAAAGCGACTTACAATAAGTGCATTCAACCAGGACGGTATATTTATGTATAAAAGACATCAACAAGTGCATTTTGCATGATAGGTCCCCTTTAAAGTTCCGCTAGTTGGACTCAGAGCTGCGTGCTGGTCAGCGGATTCCGCATGTGGGCCGCCAGATCAAACCTTGGAGCTTTCCGTAGGCCCTTGTTTTTTTAAGGTTTAGATGAAAAGGTAGGTTGGGTTCCCTGAAGTGTTACCTGGGGGCTCAGTGGGGCAGGGCTGCAGAGTGCAGGTCTGTTTGGCCACAGGTTTGGTGAGGGGGTCACAGCCGCGGACCAGCTCCCTGCCCTGGTAACACTTGACGTCCCTCATCCTCACACCCACACCACATGTCTTAGTGCACTGAGGACACACAGGAACACAGCCGTTATACACCGATGATAAACCCTTCATATCAGAGGTGGTGTGTGTGGGTGCAGACCTCACCTCAGACCAGGGGGTGGTGTACCATTTGAAGCACGGCCTCTCAAAGCAGGTGTTTTCCTCTTCGGGCTTCTCGCTTCCCCCACACGCCTCATCATCAAAGGTCTGGAACTTTCCACCACTGATGCCGACGCACAGGACAAGTCTTCGCTTCACGCCACGACCGCAGGTTGTGTTACACTACAGACAAAAGGTTATCCATATCTGACTTCAAACTGACTTCTTTTGAAAGAGGTCAACCATTGTGCCTCACTTTTAACACATAACTACCAAATCATTATTCCTTTCGAGAATCTTAACCCTTAAAGGTCCCCTATTATACTGTTCTTCATCAATATATTATAGGTCTCAGATATATACAAAACATGTCTCTGAAGTGTTTGGCACGAAATACCAAACAGATAATTGTAGCATCCCATAAACCCCTCTGTTTCAGCCCTGTTTCAAAAGTGCTGATTCTCTGTCTGTTACTTTAGATGAAAATAAGGAGCCACTCCCCACGCCCCTCTGAGAGATATTTGATTAAAAAGAATACAATGGTGCTCTAGGAGGAGATTCAGGTGATAAGGTGGGGGGGGGGGGGGGGTTACCTTGGTTGGTGATTGGCTAATGGTTACACAATCCAAAAAATCGTTATGACATCATAAAGTGGCCAAAGTCTGATCAGCTCATTTTCAGACAGGTTTTTATATAAATGGATCAGGACAAAAAGTGAGTGAATCTTTGTTCCTGAAACTTTCAGAATCTCTTTACACAGAGGGGACACATGTTTATGTATAAAATACATGAAAAAGTGGATTTTGCATAATAGGTGACCTTTAAAATGCCAGTTCGATTACATAATTCCAATGTTGTTATGAGAAATAATTCACAGTTTCAGGTCTAATAATAAACAGAAGTTGTGACTGTGTGTCTCACCCTCTCCCAGTCTTGGCTCAGCCAGTGTGGAGCACAGTCTCTCTCCCCACAGGGATGGATGGCCAGCGGCTTGTCCTCCGCAGAGCACTGGTTCTCAGGAACCACGCGACCCTCCGGAGCCTTACAGTACACGTGACGCACCGTCTTCCCCTGGCCACACGACCCCGAGCACTGCAACGAGTGTCAGGGGTCAAACTAGATGATTCATTATCCAGAGAATACATTCCTGCTGCCATCATGGCCTTCCTGAGCCATGTCTTTTAATAAAGCTCGGGGTCAAACGCTGCTTGTCACATTAAGTCACATCACCTCACATCATATTTAATACAAATGTGGCATTGCATGAAGATAAATGGCATCACACCACATCAGAGGAGAGAATCAACTGCATGTGGCCATGTCACATCAGATAAAGTCATGTTAACACTTATTTATTGTAAGTAAAGTATCTAAAAAGATCTCATGTTCTATGAATTGAACAGAGGTATGACACACTGTCTTGTTTACACCAGGGAAAAGCTAATCGCGCTAAAGCAGGAATAGCAGTCGGAACAAAGACTATCCCCACTGAAATCTGAAGGACACAGAGGATGCAGGGTAAACCGAAGAGACGAAGAGCGAGAGTTGGGTCCAGATTTATAGAGAAAAGGAGATATAAGCCTTGGCTCCCTCCTCTCCTCAGAGGCAACGCAAGATCACTGACTGGGAATGGAAGAGCTAATTGCTTCCGCTAGGAGTCAGATGGAATATCCGGAATGTAGTTTAATGTGCTTTTTTTCTGATTGGTTCTGTGAATGGCACAGGTGTACATAATACAATTGTCTGGTGAAAGAATGTGTCCACAGACAGACATATAAAAGCCATGATGACACAAGGTGAAAACAAGTCCTGGCTGGTAAATATTATATTGACAGCAGCAAGCAGATCAGCAGCATGGTGGTAAAAGGCAAAACACACATCCAGCTCTGGTAAAAATAAGATAAAATTGCATTAGAATCATAATCATAAATCCTTTATTTGTCACATTTTTGCATCGGTCTCTTCATTTTTTCCAGAGCTGTATATCTTGTCAGACAGTATATCTGTGTAGATGCAGAGTAAGACACTCACAGGCCCCCACTCTGACATGGTCCAGTGGCGCTCGCAGGGCGGCCCGGTACAGTTTTTGATGTTTGGTGGTTTGGTCATCAGGTCACATGGTCGGGTCTCATCAGAGCAGCGGACATCACGGGTCACCTGAGCTTTGCGGCCACATTTAGCAAGGCACTAGAACAAGAAGGGGTACACAGACACACATGTTTCTAAGTTATTACTTCTGTCTGGGCAAGAAAGTCAAATATCTATTTTATTTTACCAAATATTTCAATATCCATACTGGCACGATATTGTGGGGTTAACTATTGGTGCTTTCACAGAATATTAACACAAAAATATTTTTGATAAATAATTATCAGAAATGTTGTTAAAAGGGCTGAAAAAGCAAATAATAGAACAGTTCACTGAAGAAAAGGATTCTGACTAAATGTATCTTATTTTTATAAATTCATTTTGTAAATAAATCCTTCTTATCTTTTTTAATTAATCTTGTATTAACCGCGTTTAAAACAAGTATGTTAAATTCAATGAAAAGTTGGCAAAAATACGTTAATCATGCTTACGGTTGTTCAGCAGGATAATCTGCACATATTTACTCCAATTTTATAATTTTTGAAGAGTAAATACAAACTCCAGATGTAAAATGCTACATGATGGTTGCATGACTTCACGTAACCATCGCTAAGCCAAATGTGGCTAATGTTTGGCGTGATGACATTTAGTAATCTCATAACAGTCACGCGTGTGCAACCGCTGTTTTAAAAGGCATATAGAAGCTTCGAGAATGCACATTTGGGGTACTGTGGTATTTTATGTAGAACAATACGTGGAAAATGAACGGATCCAACCAAAAACACATTTAAAAAAAGAAAATATTGTCAGAAAACTGTAAAATGCTAACTATATCCGGGTTTTAGGACTCATTCCTGCACCACACAAACACCTCTTTGTTAATGTTCTCCTCATATTTCAAGCGCTATCGCAGCAGGGGAATCATTACAGTCTTATCTGGTACCTCTGTCCACTCGGCCACCTCCCACTGTGGCCCACAGGCGGGGCTCTTGCAGGGCCGTCTCTCTACAGGTCTCTCCAGGTCGGCCATGGTGCAGAGGTCGCTGTAGACCGAGCTGTCCAGGCCCGGCGAGAGCATCTTCCAACAGCGAACCTGGCGAAACTGGAAACCCTCCCCGCAAGTCCTCGAGCACTCGCTCCAGCTGCTCGCCTCCCATCTGAAACACCACATTCATCCTATCTCATCAAGGCTCTGTACAGTTACATTCAGATTGTATGATTGCAAGAAATATATCTGGCACAATAAAATGTTTCATTGCACCTGGGCGGACATTCCCTCCCAATACAGAAGTCGTGGACCGGCTCCGGTTTAGTCAAAGCGTCACAGTACATGTCGTGCACCTCAATGCCATCATAGCGGATACATGTGACGAAGGATGTTGACACTCCTGGATTGTGAGCAAAAGAAAATGATTTGTATAGCACATTTTAATCACAAGAAAACTAAATTCTACATGTGATGTTCATGTACTGTAAAGGATAATATGCAGCGAGCCTGTCAATAAACTTAAAGCTCCCATGTCATGCTTTTCCGGTTATTACCCGTCCCCTTGTGTGTTATGAAGGTTTTTATGCATGTAAACGGTGTGCAGAGTCAAAACCCTCAAAGTACACCCTGTAGCGAGTAAAACTCTAACACAGAAAATACCTCCCCAAAACGCCTCGTTGGAGATACGTCACTGTCCATTTGATTCTTCCGGGTACCGCATGATGTCATGCGGTACCCGGAACAAAATGGACCAATACGGAAGAGCTATGGTCACACCCTCTGCCAGCCTAACATTTACTGTTGGAAGCTCTGGTTCAGTTCACAATCGATCCAGTCATGCCAATGCCAAGGACCTGTTTCCTGAAATGTGAGGAGAAATCTGAGCTGTTTGTCCTACCGACGGAAGAACCACGACGAAGTCAGTGGTTGAAATTTCTTTTTAACACTGTTCCTTCAGAGGTTCGAAGAACGTTACTGTGTGCGCGGCATTTCACAGACGAAAGCTTCCAAAACATTGCCCAGTTTGAGGCCGGATATGCACAGCATTTGAAACTGAAGGACGATGCTATTCCTAGTTTGTTTGGACTGTTTGGAGCAGGGGAAGATTCGGGTATACAACCTGTAAGTTTGCATTGTTATTTGTGTATTTATCAAACAAGACTGTTTAAATGTGTAAACTGTGTCGGACTGCTAAGCCATTGACACAGTGCTAACTGTGCTAACTAAGTTGCTAGCGTTTCCATATATCAACTCTAATATCAGCAGATGGCCTTGCATACATGTATCTCATAGCAAGAGAATGTCTGCATTCACACACGAAATACTCATAGACAGTATACTCCGGGTGATTTGCCGTACGGTCAGTCGCGAAACGTAATTACATTATAGCTGGCGTAGCGTGTATGCTACCGAACTAACCAACGGAGCTAGACATGGGTTTGCTCGGGAATTTTTTTTTGTTATGCCAGCTACAATGAATGTAGCAGACTACCCGTATAAGATTGCAATTGTAAACACGTTCTTGCTAACCTAATATGAATCACTAGCTTTTGTTCATAGTGGTTTTATTACACTAAACAAGCCCAGCTTACTGGGCTAACGACGTTGCTAGCGTTTAAATATATCAACTACAATGTCAGCAGATGGCCTTACATGTTTGTCATGGCAGGAGAATGTCTGCAGTCACACACACGGAATACTCATACAGTATACTCCGGGTGATTTACCGTACATTGTGACAGTACATGTACATACTGCATGTATAGCTAACGGGGCTAGCTATACATGCTAGCGCAAAACAATGTATTCATGCCAGTTATAATGAATGACCGAACGTAGCAGACTACCCGTATAAGATTGCAATTATAAACACGTTATTGCTAGCCTAATATGAACCACTAGCTTTTGTTCATAGTAGTTTTATTACACTACATTATAGTTGCCGTTCCTCCGAGCTAGCGTTCATATCGTGTTAGCTACCAAAGTAAACAAAGCTAGGTTAGCATATTAGCTGGCAAGCTTACTGTGTTCATTAGATAGATGGATTAGATAGATCCACACTCCTACCACAACTACTACTAACGAATCTAAAACAACTAAGTTTCTCTAATATTTTGTGATTTGCATTTGATTTCGTCCAGCCAGATCCTGCCGGACAATACATGACGGGACTACCACACTGATGCCTCGTCCTAAAAAGCCCCGGCTGCGATAGGCAAGATGCCGACAACGGGGAGGAATTGATGATATACCGTGTATATATGTATATTTATGTTCATTTTGTACATTTCTAAAAATAAAGTTTAATGGAAATACTTAGTAGGCCTATCCTTTCTTCCCTGAATTATTTGCTCCTATAACATATCATTCATATATAGCAAACCATGATTTGATTTCTCATCAAACAGTAGTAGTTTATTACAGGTAAAAATAACTTACTCTTTGTTATGACCGGCTCGTAGGCCACAACGGAAAGACAAGGAGACATACACGAGTTTACAAAACCACGGCACATTTATTGTGGTAAATGCAGAGATAGGTGGTCGAGGGGAGAGGATCGCCGAGTTCGTTCTTCTGCAGCCGCTTTGGAGAGAGACAGGGGCCGCCGTGTCACTCCGGGCAGCTGGGCTTAATAGCAACTCGGCTCCGGCCAGGTGTCCGTGATCGCGCTGATTAGCCTCTTCAGCTCCACCCCATCGTAAGACCTGCAACACACCTGCACAAAGGCCCTGGGGCCGTCACACTCTTCTATAACAACAGTTGTAGGTACAGTTCGGTTAGTTAGCGTATAAAATATACGGCTGTACCGACGCCATTATAAGACTGATGTTCCGAGAGCGAGCCGAAAAAGTGGAAATGGCCATGACATGGGCCCTTTAACAAAAAAGGCGGCTTGTTCGCGGGCGTGAGCCGGCTCCCGTTGTTCACTTAAAAGAGCCGGCTCTTCGAGCAACACTATTGTATAGTTCACTTCAGAGGTCTCGGACTGTGTTCACACCGAACCAAACAAACCGCACCAAGCGGGTAAACGCACCAGGGTTCAATTCAACCGGACTATACAAGGCTGGTGTGAATGCAACCTAAGTCTATAACGATTAAAAAAATTAAAAGAACATCCGAATAACGAAATTGAAAGGCCAACGACCGAATATTCGGATATTCGGGTACAGCCCTAGTAAACGTCATGTGATAATCTTTTTGATTATCCTTTAAAAAAAAGTGCTGGATATCACAGCCCTTACTGTATCTTATCAGTTGGATTGTGTATTATTGTATAGTTGGGGTCATTTTTATTTTACTGTTACTTTGGAATAGTTATATCTCTCACAGGCTCCGCCCTCTACTGGACTCTATGGGTACTACCTTATCATGCAAGCATTCACCTACTGAGATTTCTATAGACGTAGCCGGCCCCGGGGCGGGCTTACCTGAATGCGTGCGCATCTCACTTCCGTATAAAAGGAGGCCTCGCCTCCTGACCACTATCCTTTACTCTTCAGCGAGCGGAGGTGGTAACCTAGCACTGAGTCCGAGACGTACAAGTGGGAGAAAGGAAGTAGAGAGAGATATTGTTGAAAATGGAGCCACTCCTGGAGCATCGCAGTTGCCCGTCGTGCCCTGGACTGATTGCGGGAGCAGACCCGCATCGCCAATGTTTTCAGTGCCTGGGACAGGATCACGCTGAGCAGGGAGCAGGCCAGACACCGGCCTGTGTTTCCTGCTGCTCGATCCCGATGCTGAACCGCCGGCATCGTGCGGAGTACTTCTCGAGGAAGTTTGGCCCGCAGGTGCACGGAGAGGAAGAGGATGTGGACCTCGAGGTGGTGGAAATGGACGACCTGAAGGACGTGCCGTTTGAGTTCGTCCTTCCGAGGGACCGCGTGGTCGACTTCACGGAGGATGACGACATCTCCTTGTCCGACACCCCCGGGTCCGACAGCCAGGAGGGCCCAGCACTCAGGTCTGCGCGACTGGACTTCCCAGCGGTGATGACCCAGGCAGCGGAGCGTGTAGGCTTACCGCTCCCCCCACCGCTGCCACCGAGGCCTGTAAGCCGCCTTAGGCAGGGGTTTTATGGCCCGGTGCTTCCGGCGCAGCCGGCTTTCGTCTCGCCCCCGTTGCCAGACATCTGGCAGTGTGTGGAGGCGACATGGCGGCGTCCATTGAGGACGAAGGCCGCCATAGCATCCATGTCGGGCATTATCAGGGTGCAGGGCCGATCAGACACGGTGTGTGCTGGCGTGCCCCCCCTCGACGAGAGCCTGGCGGCCCATCTGTTGCCACGATCAGCGGGTTGGGCGGAGGGGAAGAAACCTCTGCCCCCGCTGCCGCGGGACCGGGAAGCCTTAGAATATTTGGATAAAATATTCAGGCTCGGTTCACAGATGGCGGCTGCGGCGAATAATCTGGGTGTGTTGGGCGTCTCCTTGATTACTCCTCGAGCAGACGCCCCCGCTCTCCCGTCTCAGGACGGGGATGATTATCCGGACCGCTGCATAGGTCAGATGAATAATCTGATCCATGGAGTGGCCACCGCAGCCGGGCGAGTGATGTCCTTAGCCACAGTGGCGTCTCGTCATGTGTGGCTGGGACTCACCGCGCTGGCCAAAAAGGACCGAGCAGATCTCCTTGGAGCCCCCGTTTCCACGGAAGGGCTCTTTGGGTCTATAGCCTCGGTCACCCAGCGTTTCAGCCGTCTGGAGGAAGAGAGGCTGCAGCTTAGCCGCATGTTGCCGCTAGCTTCTCCCCAGGTGTCGCAGCATCCTCCGCGGGCGGCGGAGCGCAGTGCAACGGTGAGACGGAGGGAGAGACGCCGGTACGAAAGTCCCGTGCCGGTAGCACCCTCCGCTTCTTCAACCAGCCCCGTGGGGCCAGCGTACCGGCACTCACGGGGGGGGGCTGCCCGGCCACGGCAGTCTCAGCAGCAGCAGAGAACCGCCGGGTGGGGAGCTCCGCCAAAACGCAGCTGACTGGCGGAGGGAGGAAGCGTCTCATCGGGTCTCTCCACCCAGGACGCTAGGGTGAATCCCACCTCCTCCCTGTTCAATGCCCAGGTCCCTTTTATTAGGAAAACTAATAAAGAAAAGGGTGATCTGTATCCAAGTCTGAGTGTCATGTGTTTTCACAATCCTGCACTCACACACATTGTTGACTGTACATATTCCCCACTCGCTACCCCGGTTATTTCTCCTGTAAAGGAGATAGCTAGTGGGCATGCGCAGATGAGAGAGATAAACCGCAGGAAGTGCTATAGTAGCGCTATGCGGGTGCAGGGACTTGCTAGTCGGCGCATTATGGTTAGGGAACACACTACGCCTAGAATAAAGGCTCCTAATAATACAGTTTACCGTAGTGGTAAGAGCTGCATTATGGCGGAGCTCGCGCTCTCTCAAGAGCCCA